GTTCATTTTCAACTATGTTGAAATCTACCGCTGATAGTTGGGCAAACAGAGTGTTCAGATGGTTCATGTGGTCCGTCACCGTTGTGGACTCACTCATCCGAAGAGTGTAGAGTTTCCTCTTCAAGAATATTCTTGTGTGAAGAGACTTCACCTCATATAATTTTATGAGGACATCCCAAATCTACATTGCTGTTTCTTTCTCCGCCACACTAGATAACACTAAATCTGCCATTAATAGGTGCAAATTAGCGATGGCGTTGTTGTCAATTTCTTTCCACTTCTGCTCCGTCATTTCTGTGGGTTTTCATTCAATTGCAGCTATGCAATTGTCTTTCTCAAAATTGCCTTTATCTTCAATTTCCACAACGAGAAATTGTTCCCGTTGAACCTCTCGATCTCGTATTTTGTTGTCATAATTTCTAAAATTTTGGCTTATGCACTTCTCACTATGAATAATATTGTCTACTGGAACAACACAGGTAAACAGTGAAGTAACACACCAAGAAGTTCCCAAGAAAGAGAGGTGAGTCACAAATGGACACTCTTAAGTACTAAATCTTTCCCAACCAGAACTTTCCCCGACAGTACTTTCACACTACCAAACATTTCTAGTAATAACTCTTTTCTGATGCGGAAGATCGGATTAAACCGCAATCACAGTGCATACTCAGAATTTTACCAACACTATTCTAATGACAATAGTAGCGGAAAATTGCAGCTATGCAATTGTTATTTCTCAAAATTGCGTTTATCTTCAATTTCCACAACGAAAAATTGTTCCTATTAAACCTCTCTATCTCGTATTTTGTTGTCATAATTTCTAAAATATCGGCTTATGCACTTCTCACTATGAATAGTGGTTAGTGAAGTGGATGGCTACTTTCAGTGTAGTGTGGTAGTTACAATCATCACAAACAAACAAAATTAAAATTTTGGACCCTTTTAAAGTTTACCCAACAAAACTCCTCATTCCATGGTCCAGCAGCAATCAACAAGAGTCTCCTCATTCCACGATCCAGCATCGAGCAAGCAGAGAGCTGGGACGTGTTGGAGTAGCCACCAAAAAGGAGAGAGGGTAGCGTCCAAAGGAAGGACGTCCAGCTTGGCAACAGAATGGTGTGCAGCAAAGGTGGGAGTCCTCGGTCCAGCAAGCTACAGGCAGCAGCAACTCGTCAGGCCCATGGGAAGCGTCTAGCAGCTGGTCCAACAGGGGCGTTCCAACAGAAGCTTGAGGAGCTCACGGACAGCCCAACTTCAGCACGGTCCAACTGCCAGCAAAGAAAGGGGTAGAGACCTGTGGAGCTGAAAGGAGTATGAGGGAGAGCCGCCACTGAAGAGGAGAGGGAGCTGGAGGAAGAGAGAAAGCTTGCTCGAGCAGCCACCAACCAGCAGGAGTTTATTGAATTTATGGAGAAAGAGTTCGCGTAGGAGAGATGGACGGTGATGTCCAGAAGCACACAACACGTCCACGAGGAGGCATGTGGCTGATTTTATTGAGCAAGAGAAGAGTGTTTGAAGATGAAGAAAAGAAGTGGTGTCACGCCCTGAAATGTGACGTCCAGCCTTGGGAAGCACATAGCAGATTGGCACATGAGGTTTTGAAAAAACCGGGTTGTTGGAAGTGAGAAAGGGGTCCGAGCCGCCATCCGCATTTTTTGCTTTAAAAAATGAATAAAAGGACTGTGACATGGAGAGCACTAAACAGAATATGGGGAGAAAAGATATTCATCTTTCAATTTAAAGAGGGGTGTGCACACGGGAAGGAGGAGCCGAGAGGTGTAGGGAATTCATTCTTTTGGCTTAAAAAAAATGTAGCTGATTTAACTGGGAGTAGCTGAAAGTGGTGTGAGGGCTGGACAGAGAGTTGGACAATAGAGCTGAGGATATACACCGGTGCTAGAATGGAGGACTACGGTTGAGTTCTTAAGATTCATTTTCTTTGCTGGAAGGGAATTTTTGCTGGTATCAAAGGAGGAGAGTTTGAGTGTCCGAAAAAAAAAGCCAAGAGTGAAAACGAGAGAGAGTAAGAGATGGCTAATTTTGCTAACAGTGTCCCTAGTTCAGTTGACAGAGTATGTCAACTATGGTGATTGGAGTCTGCAAATGAAAGCTTTTCTTGGATCCTGGCGTTTGGGATGATTTGGAGTGTGGGAAACAAGAACCCACAGAGAAGGAAGAGCAAATTTGTGACCCATATTGTTGCGGTGAAAAGGACGCCTGTGAAGGACATGGGAGTCCAGCGGTGAGAAGATAGCAAAGGAGGCATCTTCAAAAGACGCGTGCAGGGGACAATTGTGTTAGGCAACACCAACTTCAAACTCTAAGAAGGGGAGTTTGAAAATTTGAAGGAGAAAATGGCAGATAAACTCGGCAGAAATGGAGAGTTGTCTGCTAGCCGAGTTGTGGAGAAGAATTTGAAATCATTGACAGATGATTTCGAAAGCTTTGTGTGCGTCATCAAGGACCTATCAAAGCTCTTGGGTAAAGAGGTTGATCGGGTTCTAGAGGCGCACCAGCAGCGGAGATTTGAGCCAGTAGATCGAGTGCTTCGGGAAAAGTTTGATTTGAAGAGGAGGAATTCGAAAAACTCAAGACCTAGACGATCCAGGGAGAAGAGGTCGAGAACAGGGAGCAGAGGTCTGAAAAAAAAATGTCGAGATGATGGGATACAGTGCAAGAAGACCAATTTAAAGTTTACGGGGAAATTTTGTTGGGTAAACTTTAAAAGGGTCCACACTACACCGAAAGTAGTCATCCACTTCACTAACCACTATTTGGATTTTTGTGTGCAACTCACTTGTAAAAGTGAATGAAGAAGTGGTTGTAAGAAGCCCACCCACATAGCAGTGGAGATGTTAGGTTTAGTTTTTATTATAAATATGGACATGTAATTTTGTATGAAGTGTGGCACACTTGTAGTGTGTGCACCGTGGAGAATGGGCAGTGAGAAAGAAGAAAGGAGAGAGTCTACAAATTGAATAATATATTTGTTTCTTCTTTCTTCTTTCTCACTACCCATTCTCCACGATGCACACACTACAAGTGTGTCACACTTCATAACAAAACTACATGTCCATATTTATAATAAAAATTAAACCTAACATCTCCACTGCTATGTGGATGGGCTTCTTACAACCACTTTTACAAGTGAGTTGCACACAAAAATCCAAATAGTGGTTAGTGAAGTGGATGACTACTTTCGGTGTAGTGTGGTAGTTACAATCATCACAAACAAACAAAATTAAAATTGTGGACCCTTTTAAAGTTTACCCAACAAAATTCCCCCGTAAACTTTAAATTGGTCTTCTTGCATTGTATCCCATCATCTCGACTTTTTTCTTTCAGACCTCTGCTCCTTGTTCTCGACATCTTCTCCCTGGAACGTCTAGGTCTTGAGTGTTCCGAATTTCTCCTCTTCAAATCAAACTTTTCCCGAAGCACTCGATCTAGTGGCTCAAATCTTCTAGAACCCGATCAACCTCTTTACCCAAGAGCTTTGATAGGTCCTTCGACTCCTCGATGACGCACACAAAACTTTCGAAATCTGGTATGCAATTCAAGGCTCAAAAATGCCCAAAAAGCAGAAGCATGAAATGGATAATTGTATCAAGAGAATATTATTGATAAAAATGTCTTAAGCCCAGGGTTGAAAATAATACACCAGAGCCATGCCTCTAAGAAAATTGATAGTCCAGAAGCTCATCTCTCTCCCATATTAGGACAATGGCAGTTCTAACATGGGTTCTTGGAAATAGATAATTGTATTAAGAGAATATATTGACAAAAATGTCATAAGCCCAGGATTGAAAATAATACAGCAGAGCCATGCCTCTAAGAAAATTGATAGTCCAGATGCTCATCTCTCTCCCATATTAGGCCAATGGCGGTTATAACAGGGGTTCTTGGAAATAAGTTGTAGAAATTGCAGTTTCTATTGGGGCTCATCTCTGTCCCACCATTGTTCTTAAAATCCCACCAAAGCTAGCTAAACCATTCTGCTATATAGAAATTGCAGATTAAAAGAATCAAAACAAACAATCAAATTATTATTGAATAACAATAAAAGTGAGGAGGTATAAAAGTGAGGAGGTATATGGATCTTATACCTGTAGAGCCCCAATGGAGCAGATGTGAGCATGACAAAAAGGTCATCACATATGTAACGATGGACTCGGTTTAATTTCCCAGACCTGTAACTGTATCAACCATAGTTTGTTGAGCAGGATACCTTACTAATGTCTGGAGGCAATAATGCAAATGAGTAAAGTATGACTTATATAGGGAAATATGTTAACATATACTGAGGATATAGGATTTTAAAAATTTTAAAAAGATTTTAGTTCGTAAAGAAATCGAAAACTAAAAATACCCTAAAAAACAATTTATTTTGTCTTTGTATAATATTTAATATATAGTGTAACAGAGAAATACGTAAAATTCAGCCACAAATGTGTAGAGCCCCAATGGAGCAGATGTAAGCACGAGAAGACTATCACATCTGTAACGATGGGCACATTAATTTTCCAGACTTGTAACTGTATCAACCATAATATTTTTTAGGAGAATACCTGACTAAAATCTGGAGATAGAAACAATCTATCAGATAATTGAAACCTTAAAAAGATAAAAAAGATGAGAGAGAGAGAGGAAGTCCACAAAACTAATCAGTATTATCAAAACCTTCACTAATAAATTGTATCTCTTCGGACATTCCATTTACCCAATGAAAAGAATTTTCAAAATAAAAATCCAAAAATAGAAGAAAAAAAAAACCCAAACCTTGAACGAGATGATAAACAAAAGGGCTCGGTAAAGGTATGGTAGAGTATAAGGATAACTGGCCTTAAGAGATGCATCAAAACCTCAAAATTAAAATCTTCACACTACATTACCAGTATTCTTTTTTATAAAACCAAACTGCGCTCAGTTACCTTTCAATAATAAATATCAACAAAACAGAACATTAGTCATCATAAAACAAAAAAATTGTAAAGAATGAAACAATGTACCGAATGGCGAAAAGTAAGATCCCATGAGAAATCCAACTCGATATATTCGATAGCATGCATCGATCTAGCTGGTTAAATATATCAAGCTCACATATCCTCATGAATAATAGGATATGTGCTGCTCAACCAGCAAGATTTGAATCCTCCCATTTAAAGAACAAGTTCTAAAGCCACTAAAAATGCATTAGCCATGCCCTCGAACCTATTTAACTCTCACGTGATTCTTTTTAGTACGTTCACGTAAACTAGAGCAAACACTCTCAACTCACGTAAAATCACAAGTTTGGAACCAGAGAAAAAGAAAAAAAATGGCATCAGATTTGTTCGTTTCTAGGTATCGATTAAAACACAACACACCTGGGTAACAACTCCGTCGTTCACTGGTTCTCTATTGCAAGTTTCTGTCTGCTTTGGGTGTTGATGTTGCTTTCTGCTGAGGCAAAGCCTGTTTTCTTTCACCAATATGATATAAAGATTCTTAGGCTACCACAGTGTTGTCTGCACAGCTCACCACAGCTACCCCTGGCAGACTCAGTGACATTCTCAACTTGTTTCCAGCAGAACTAACTCGTCCTGAAACAAAACACAAGGTACCATAATTTTTCTATAACGAAGTGGCCATAAAAAAATAATGCTGACAAAGCTTAACTAAATAAAATGTCATGAAAACAAATATTCATGTCACCCCAACCAAATTCACTTCAATTGATGTTTAGAATAAGAAAAACTCAACCAAAGGAAAAACAAAAAATGTAAGATTATTAATCTTTGTTTTGTCAGAAGATCTACAGTGTTAAGAGAACCACATTGTTGCAAAATTAACGTCAAGCCAGCTTCATTTCCACTGAATAGGTTCACTGAATATGCATTGGATTGCAGGAAAAAAGCAAACCACAAAATAGAATAACCAAAAGCTAAAATAGTCTCTCTTTTTCTCTTCTTTTTTAAAATGATTGTCGGCTGCATATTCAGTGAAGCAGGTGGGCAGAAAAAGAGAGACAGAGAGAGAGATGGATATTGCAGAAATCGTGCACTATATAGTAACGGAAAAAAAATGAGAGTGGAAGAGGAAACATTAAAAAAATCAAACCTGGCTTTGACATTTTGTTGCTCCCGTATTACAAGAAATGGCACTTTTGCATAATTAGGGTTTTCTTTTGGGATGATATTTATAAGGAGCGAGATTGAGTTCGGGTTTTGGCAGAGAGTCAGCTTATGGCAGAGAGTCAGCTTAGGTCACAACGGGCAACTCAGAACAATTCAATTTGAAATTTAAAAAGTAAAAAAAAAACAAAGCAATGTAATATATTCTTTCAAGATTTTCCAACATTTTGAAAACAGGAAAAACATTTATATTTTTTAACAATATATATTTATAGCGTTAATATGGAGATTTTCTTTTTTATTACTTTTTATCGACCACAAATTCTTTCAGTCTTGTTTTATAATTGTCTTTTAAAATAACTATCCATGATAAAAAAAATTACTCATAGTAAAATAATTTTGTTTTGTAATTATTCTGTGTAAATTCTATAATAACGCAATAGTAATGTGTATTTTAATAATCATTAAAATAATAATTATTTTACTTTTTATTTTTTGTTACATTTATTGCTAGTAAAAGGCAAAAAGACCAAAATACCTTGAAATATAATTTTACCCTGAAATAAAATAAAATAAGATTCCATGAAAAAAATTAAAAATAAAATGAAAATTGGGGGAAAGCAAAATGGAGAAGGAAGAGAAAATACATAGTCGAAAGTATAGACCTGCGCAGAGAGGTTCCCCAAGCTGTTTAGGTTTGGATTGATTGTCGCACCAAAACGTACATTTTCGCTCCAGCTTGTGCTTCAGCCCTGCCTCCGGCGCAGCAGCCGCAACCACTTCGCTTGTTTCCATTCCTCTCTCTGAACAACCCTAAGAGGAGTGAGGTTATGCTTTTAGGGCTTTCTTTCATTGTGTTTGCACCGACCTAAGCCAAAATCTTAATATATTGTATTTGGTTGCTTTTTAAAAATTATGTAAATGAGTATAAAATTAATAAGGGAATACAAAATTATATGTTAAAAATTATATTATTGTATTTTATTATTAAATGGGAGCATTGCAGTCATAAACATAAATATCATTTAAATTATATAAAATTATATACCTCAAACAACCTGAAAATAAATATGTTTCAGTATGAATGTTGAGACCGAGATACGAATCTAGCGAATTGCAACCGCTTTTTCCTATGATGTCGTTACCGTGCTATCTCCCTTGATGTGGCAAGCTCTCAGAGAGGAAAATGGGCTGGGTACCTGCAAAGACATTACGACGCTCAAGTTAGAAAAGGATCTATTGAACCTTTCAAATTCAAAGTGAAGAAGAAGATTAATCTTTTCTCTCTTAATTTCTCTTAAGGAAGAACGTGTTATGTGTCGCGACATCGCTGTTTGTTTCTCGATCACCAATGTGTCGACATCAACAGACGATTGGCGTTAAAAAGTGTTCGACATTCCTACGATCGTGACATTACGATCGTAAGAAGGCTCGACAAATGGTCGTCCGGGTTACTCGTCGACCGTTGGTGAATTCAGGTATCCTACTGTACAAAATATAACCTAATGATAAAACCCAACCATCTCAAAATCACTTTGAATTATAAAATATGAAATATAAAGCTTGAACAATTAATTATAATAATTATAAAAAAATTATATATAGGATATATAATAAATTTATGAAGAAAAGTTTTAAAAAATAATAACGATGTCTAACCACATGTTTTTATTTATAGAGAACAAATAACACAATCATATATTAATTTTTAATTAACCTATAACATATTTCTTTATAAAAATTAACGTGAAAGTGTACCTGAATGTGTCACTATGAATGATGGTGAAAATGAGATTAATCGCGAGTGTCTGATCGTCCAAATGTATAAAAACTTATGAACCTTTTTTGTTGTCTCTCATGATAGGTATGAAGAGAAAACAAAAACCCTTAATGTAGTAAGCAATATTGCCTTCTTTGTAACTATTGTGAGTCACATCTCATATTTCAATATTTTATTTCATCCCCTTATCAAATCAAATCAGAATGTTAGTTCAGGATATCTACGCAATAGTCTTTCATGACAATTGTGCCATTAATTATAAACTTAAGATTAACATATCACTTTATTATTTTCACTAACTAGATAATGACCATAATTTAAATGTATATCCTTACAAATGTGTGACACTTTATCTTATTATGTTCCTTGGACATAACCAATCAGGGTCATTATCTAATCATTATATTTCTTAGTTTGTTAAAATTAATTATCGCGTCTATTAATTATATCAATACAATTTTTCACTGTGGTGTCAATCATAAATAAATCATTAATGATCTGATATTGATACAATTAAAATACACTTACTCGTCATCATGAAACGTGTAGCATAAAAAATCACACAAAGGTCGTATGTGCATGTCGATTTTCAATTGATCCTACTTTATCTTATTTATCAATCAACAATATTATTGTACAAAGTGTAATGATTGAATAACAATTTTTATATTTGATCAAAATAAATTATTCAAATACAAAAGTATCCACGCATAATAGTAAATATAGAACATAAATCACATAAATGACTAGATCACACTTAATTAAAAATTTCTCAAATTGTAAAATACCTATTTGAACAGTGTGTCTAAAAAAGACCTTTGATGGAAAACCCTCCATAAAAGGATTTGTTATCATGGAGTGTATCCCTGTATGTTTTATAGAAATTTGACCATTTTATACCCTTTCATTGATAATTGAGAACTTGATGTTATTGTATTTTGGCTTGATCAAACTCTTATCGCATATGAGATATAAGAAGGTTGATTTGGTGTTACAATGTAACTCAGGTGACCTTTTCTATTTCTTTAACAATTTGCAATCGAGTGACAAAGTTCTTCAACCAAATCTCATGACTAGATGTTTCACAATATGTTGTAAATTATGCAGTCATGGTAAATTAGATATACTTCGAAGTGGATCTCAAATCATCATTATATATAGTAAAATTCAAGCTGGAATTTCTAGTGATTTTAAATTAGTTTGACTTCTTTATACATAGATATACAATCCATTATTTTCTTTAAACATCCTATAACCCTTTTAGGTGCATTTTAGTGATCCATTTTTAAATTGTCTAACATCCTGTATATTATATCTTGACGTATATACATTTATATCATATCTTCTAATGTTGATGTATAAGAATTTTTATATATTTTTTGAATTTCTAAATTTCTTTTTAAAATTGATTTAGACTAATTTTGTTACTCTTAACAATTGTATATTCACTTATATGTTTTCATGCCAAATCTTTAAATATTTTTTCAATATAAACTTTTTTTTGTGACAATCCTAAAATATTTTGAGATTAATTTTAATATACCTGAATTTCTAATACAGAATAAGCGTTACTAAGATATTTCATTTATAAAACAAATAACTATACAATTAATTTTCACATTAAGAATGCTATTAGAAAATAAACAAGTGTCATTTATTGTTTAGTGAAGTTGAAAAACTTTGATTACGTGATTACGCATGCTATTAGAAAATGAACAAGTGTCATTTGTTTAGCGAAGTTGAAAAACTTTGATCATGAGGATAGAAATTGATTAAATATGATAAACTTGGATTTATTTAATAATTCTTTAATCTTTTTTTTTTTTTGTGATTGTATGTGAGCATGGTCAAGGCAACATGTATCGTACTTAATTTATTATTACAGCTTGTTAATAGATCTAGCTACTTAGTATCTTATTTTATATATATATATATATATATATATATATAATTTTAGTCTCTAAACACTAGTGTTAAGAAATTAAAATAATTTTAAATTTATTTAGTTCTTAAAATTTAAGTTTAGGTACTAATTTAAATTTGAAAAGACTAAATGCATAATTCGACCCAAGTTTAAGGACACTAATTATGTAGGAAAATATGAAGTTTCACATTAATATTTACATTGTACACGTCAAACAATTTATATTTTGTTATTAAATAGATAAAAAATAATATACAAACAATGAGAGGAAAATCTACACATCATATTTTGTTATCCAATTGATCGAAAATAATATAAAAACAACAAGAGAACAATCTATCTTTTTGTCTTTCTGTTATGTTATTTTTTATAACAATTATTTAGAAAATTTATAACAATAGCTCGTATTTAAATCACAATATAAAAATTGTAAATCAGTTTTACATTTTCGGTAAGATATATACGAAAACATTTAGTTAATCTAAAAATCGTGTATTTGTATGAGAACATCCAGATATTGTAAACACAATAACATACTTGAGTTTGTGTATGTGTATAAATTTTAGTTGTATACTACTAAAATAGCTAATATACGATTATTTTTTTAAATAATTAGAGATGTTTAATTTATATATTAATAAAAAGTGATACCATTAATTGTTCATGTGAGGCTTGTTATTCTAGTCTTTTTGTATTCAAAAGATAAACCAATTTGTCATGTGAAAGCATGCAAACTATATTTTTCTCTTTGCAGTAAAGTTTCTGACTTTGAAATGAAATGCATAGACATTTCCTTCCTCATATCATAGTGGACATTTTCTTTAGTTTTGGTATTTTTGCCAGCCATAGTAGCATGTGACTTGATGCAGCTCAATTCCTGTGCCAATCACATTCATTTGACTTGGTCGCATTTTCAAACTTTTGAAATCTGCATACATAAAATAAGCACTTTAAAAGGGAGTGATTGGAGTTGTTCTATCATCTGCTAAATTCTCTTTGCATGCACTTATGGGGAAAGCACTTTGGTGGTGTTTGGTTTTGACATGCCTTTTGGCTCCTCTACCAGGTGATGGATTGACGATGAACTTGCAGAATTATTGTGAGAGTTGGAGGATGAATGTGGAGCTGCACAACATTAGGGACTTCCAAGTTGTGCCTGAAGAATGCACTGAGTACATTGGAAAATATGTCACTTCAACACAGTACAAAGTGGACTCACAGAGAACAACTGAAGAGTGTCTGGTTTACCTCAGCACAAGCTGTAATCTGAAGAAAGATGGTTTCGATGCTTGGATTTTTGACATCGATGATACCTTGCTTTCAACTCTTCCTTACTACGAGGATAATCTCTATGGGTAATTCCAAATTTCACTCCAAGTCCATTTTCTCTGTCATAACATTATCAGGAATCAGTATAATTTAAAACTGTGAGTAGAAATGAGAAAGATTAATACATTAAACAGCTCATGTCTTAAAGATGATTAATTACCCCGGTTTATTTCAAGGTTTTATTATGAAAAGAGTTGACCTATACATATTAAATATTAAGATTTTATATTAAAAATGATATAAGATATTTTATACAGACAACTCATGCCCAAAGATAGTTAATCTTTCCTGTTTATTTGAATAAAAAAAATTCCGACAAATATTTGGCTATATAAAGTAAATGTTTAGATTTGTAAAGCTGGTTTAAAATTAAATCTCTATACAAACCTTTAAGAAGTGTTTTTGGATGTTTAAACGTGCTTTTGGAGAAAGATATCTGTTGCACCTGTTACTGTGAAAGTACTTGAACATGTTAATAGATATTGCTTAAAAATTATTTTGAACTGATACGTTTTATGTTTGACCTTCTTATTCTTACAATTAATAGTAAATGTTAGTGATCAATGTAAAATTACAACAAAGTGTTTCAATCAACCATTTTAAATCAGAATCACCTTTTCATTTTGAGTTAACATGTGAGCAATTGTTTAAAATAAAGTGAATTGGTCTTTCAACTTGATCTCAGACCATCTATTGTGAATACAAACAAATTGTTAAGATTCTATTGCTCCATCGATCTCCTTTGCTTTGTTCATGATCATTGTGCATAATGACGAATTTCTTTGACAATAGGGGAAGGAAACTGAGTGTGACATCTCTAGAGGAATGGATGAAAAAGGCTAATGCACCTGCTCTTGATCACTCGTTGAAGCTTTACAATGAACTTAAATACAGGGGTGTGCAAATCCTTTTGGTTACTTCAAGGAAGGAGCATCTCAGATCAGCCACAATCGACAACCTCGTAGCAGCTGGTTACTATGGTTGGACTAAAATTATCTTTAGGTGAGTACCATTACCTCTACTTTTCTTTCAATAGTCCTCGATTTTTGGCTAAATGTTTCTCTTTTCCTTTCATTTTTGTTTCTGTGCAGAGATCCTGCAAATGAATTGGTATCAGTGAAAAAGTATAAATCTGATGTGAGAAAGAAAATAATAAATGATGGTTATCGCATTTGGGGCATTCTGGGGGACCAATACAGTAGCATTGAAGGAATTCCAAGCCCCGAAAGGGCATTTAAACTCCCAAATCCAATGTACTATGTTGCCTAATGTGTAATTGTATTGTTTCTTCCTCATTTACAACTTTTATTAAAGAGTAATTTGTTCCATGCAATTGGACATGTAGATGGTCCAGAAATAAAATTAATTTACAGTATAAATCTCTTGTGAAATCTTACTTTAATAGTTAATTATGCTTCAAATCCCCCTAAATATGGTTAATTTCTTACACATTCTAATTATACAAATCAATCTCTCATTCCACTAACAGAATTTTAATTTTAATTTACTCCCTCCATTTCAAGTTATGTATAAATTATTATTTTTTTCAATATTTTACATGATTGTATGTGTGTGCAGAGTGAAACATAAATCCAAAAATTGAATATACGAAATGGAGAAAAATGAAAGAAAGTGTGAAAAATAAAAATAAAATAAGAAGTGTGACTATTTGTTTGAGGAGAAAATAACATCAAAATGAAGGAAATTGGATCAAACATAATCTTCCACCGGTTATCAGAGGATGCAAATCAACATGAAAATAACTAGAACAAAAATCTAATACGCACCCAAAATCAGAAGCATGAAATGGATAACTGTATTAAGAGAGTTTTATGGAGGAAAATGTCCTGAGCCCAGGCTTGCAAATAACAAACCAGAGCCATACCTCTTCAGAAAATTCATTGCCCAAAACCTCGTCCCTCTACCATCTAAGAAATAAGTAGTTCTTATGGGTTTCCACCATTGGAGCTTGCTAACACGGCTGCCAAAACTGAAATTATAGTAAGGGCTCGGTAAGGGTATGGTATAGTATAATGATAACTGGTCTTAAGAGGGGCAGAGAAACCTCAAAAATAAAATTATTTTCAATTGCTCAAAAAGGACACTTTTCAGCCACATGTCACTCTCCAAGTCACATACAAATGCAGAAACATTGGAAGCCAAAGGAAAGCACTAGTTTAAGTGCAATAAAAAGCATCGGCCATATTGGTGAACAATGAACGGAGTAAACTAATGTGTTCCTGTCACCTGCCATATTAAAGCATTCAGAAGGAAAATATAAATTCATAATTGTCAGAAAGTTAAAATTATTATGAATAAAGGAGGCTCAGATTCGCCTTTTTTCAGACAGCAAAGGAATGGCTTGTGCACAGGCTGCGTCAATAGCATCTGTGCAAGAACCAGAAGGTAAATTTCACACAGATGCCAAGTCACCTAGCCAGGACACAGCTCTTCACTCATATCTGGTCTAATTGCAGAAAACATCATCATTGCCTCGTAGTAGCAAGAAGAAGAAGAAGAAGTAACTGAATCCCAGTAGAAGCAGAAAGAAATATATGTTTGGGTGGGTGTATGTATGCGGAGAGCTGTTTGGTAAACTCAATTATAATGATCATTGGCTAACACAGCAACTTCAAGAGGGCAACAGCTATCAAGACAACCTTCTCTCAAAGAGTGGAGCCTCACACTTAAACTAATGACTCATGAGTGTAACCCTAATAGCAGGGTTTCAGATAAAAAGACTCAGATTCATCTTTACACAGGCAAGAGACAGAAGAGAAGAGCCTCACCATGGCTGCATCATCAGCATTTGTATAAAAAGGCCACGATTGTAACCGACACTGAATTACCTTGCCAGGACTAAGGCTCTTACTAATGTCCATTTTCTGAACTAAAAGATGAAAACAACATCACTGTCTCCCTTCTGACCATTATTCCAGAACAAACAGAAAGTGGGTCAAATATGAAAATAACTGGTACAAAAATCTGGTATGCAATTCAAGGCTCAAAAATGCCCAAAAAGCAGAAGCATGAAATGGATAACTGTATCAATAGAATATTATTGATAAAAATGTCTTAAGCCCAGGATTGAAAATAATACACCAGAGCCATGCCTCTAAGAAAATTGATAATCCAGAAGCTCATCTCTCTCCCATATTAGGCCAATGGCGGTTCTAACAGGGGTTCTTGGAAATAGATAATTGTATTAAGAGAATATATTGACAAAAATGTCATAAGCCCAGGATTGAAAATAATACACCAGAGCCATGCCTCTAAGAAAATTGATAATCCAGAAGCTCATCTCTCTCCCATATTAGGCCAATGGCGGTTCTAACAGGGGTTCTTGGAAACGGATAACTGTATTAAGAGAATATTATTGATACAGATGTCATAAGCCCAGGATTGAAAATAATACACCAGAGCCATGCCTCTAAGAAAATTGATAGTCCAGAAGCTCATCTCTCTCCCATATTAGGCCAATGGCGGCTCTAACAGGGGTTCCTGGAAATAAGTTGTTCTTATAGGTTTCCACCATTGGAGCTTGCTGACATGACTGCCAATTGTAGAATGAGCTCTTAGAGGGCCTACCTATTTTTCATTTTGTTTTTAAACTGAAATTATAGCTGCACTAACAATTATTCAAAAAAAAAAATACAATTTAACAAACACAAGAATTGAATTAGTACTATTTCCCTCACATTTTGAATGTCTATAAATTTTGAAAACCCCATCAAAGCTAGCTAAAACATTCTGCTGCATAGAAATTGTAGATTAAAAGAATCTTAACATGCAATCAAATTAATATTGGATAACAATAAAAGTGAGGAGGTATATGGATCCCATACCTGTAAAGCCCCAATGGAGTAGATGTGAGCATGACAAAAAGGTCATCACATCTGTAACAATGGACTCGGTTTAATTTCCCAGACCTGTAACTGTATCAACCATAGTTTGTTGAGCAGGATACCTTACTAATGTCTGGAGACAATAATGCAAATGAAATGAGTAAAGTATGACTTATATAGGGAAATATGTCAACATATAAACTGAGGGTATAGGATTTAAAAAATTTTAAAAAGATTTTAGTTCGTAAAGAAAACGAAAACTAAAAATACCCTAAAAAACAATTTCTTTTGTCTTTGTATAATATATAATATATAGTGTAACAGATAAATACGTAAAATTCAGCCACAAATGTGTGGAGCCCCAATGGAGCAGATGTAAGCACGAGAAGACTATCACATCTGTAACGATGGGCACATTAATTTTCCAGACTTGTAACTGTATCAACCATAATATTTTTTAGGAGAATACCTGACTAAAGTCTGGAGATAGAAACTATCTATCAGAGAATTAAAACCTTAAAAAGATGAGAGAGAGAAACAATGAGAGATGAAGTCCACAAAACTAATAATAAGTATTATCAAAACCTTCACTTACAAATTGTATCTCTTCGGACATTCCATTTCCCAAATGAACAGAAATTTCATAATAAAAATCGAAAATTATAAGAAAAATAAAAAACCCCAAAACCTTGACAGAGATGATAAACAAAAGGGCTCGATAAAGGTATGGTAGAGTATAAGGATAACTGGACTTAAGAAGTGCAGAAAAACCTCAAAATTAAAATCTTCACACTACATTACCAGTATTTTTTTTATAAAACCAAACTGCGCTAAGTTACCTTTCAAAAATAAATATCAACAGAACAGAACATCACTCATCATAAAGCAGAAAAAAATTGGAAAGAATGAAACAATGTACCGAATGGCGAAAAGTAAGATCCCATGAGAGATCCAACTCGATATATTCGATAGCATGCATCGATCTAGCTAGTTAATTATACATCAAGCTACCATATCCTCGTTAATAATATTAAAAAGATATGTGATGCTCAACCAGCAACATTTGAATCCTTCCATTTCAGTAAGAAAATAACAAGTTCTAAAACCCCTAAAAGTGCATTAGTCATGCCCTTGAACCTACTGAACTCTCACGCATGATCTTTTTTGAGTAGGCTCGTGTGAACTCGAGCAAACTCGCGTAAAATCGCAAGTTTAGAATAAGCTCAAGCAACTTAGATTGGACACTAGAAAAAGGCAAAAAACGGCACTGAATTTGTTTGTTTCTAGGCATGGATTTAAACAGAACACACCTGAGTAACAATTTTGTGGTTCACTGGTTTTCTCTTGCAAGTTTCTGTCTGTTTTGGGGCTCACGTGGCGTTCTGTTGAGGCAATCCTTCATTTCTTTCACCGATATGATGTAAAGATTCTTAGCCTACAACAGTGTTATCAGCACAGCTCACCACCGCTGCCACTGGCAAACCCAGTGACATTTTGAACTTGTTTCCAGCAGAACCAACCCGTCCTGAAACATAACACAGTACCGTAATTAAGTTTATAAAGAAGTGTCATAGGGAAAAAAATGCTGACAAACTCCCTGAATGAAATGTCATGAAAACCAACGTTCATGTCACCCCAACCAAATTCACTTCAAACAACGTTTAGAATTTGAAAAATTTAACCCAAAGGGTAACAAAAAAAGGAAAGATTTTTCACCTTTGCTTTGTTAAATTATCATGACCCACCACCAATTCTACAATGCCAAGATAAAATGGGAATACCGCAAAAGCAAAAATAGTTTCATACTCTTCTTCCTTCTTTTTTAATTATTGTCGCTGCATTTTCAGAAAACCAGATTGACAGAAAGCAATGGAGTGAAAAATTGAGATTGCAGAGTTGGTATACGGTAAAGTAATTGAAAAAATCAGAATGGAAGAGGGAAAATGGACGAATTCAAACCTGGCTTTGACCTTTTGTTGATCTGAGACAACGAGAAATACACTTTTGCAGAATTAGGGTTTTATTTTGGGGGTAATATTAAGAAATTATCAAAATGAAAAAAAAAGTAGTGAAACAATTTCATCCATACTCATGTATTATTACAAAAGAATAACACTATCCAATTAATTTTCACATTACACATGTTATTAGAAAATTAAGAAATTAAGAAAGTGTCATTAATTGTTTTGTAAAGTTGAAAAACTTTGATTACTTTATGGATGGAGAATTGATTAAACATGATAAACTTATATTTATTTAATAATTATTTAGTTATATTATAACATAAACGTGCCAGCATGATAAAAGCAACATCCATATGTATTATACCCTACTTAATTTATTCTTATAGTTTTATAATAAACCTAGCAACTTAGTATCTTATTATAATTTTGTAAAAGAAAAAAAATATATCTTATTATGATCACTTTTATTATTAAATAACATCTAAAAGCAGTAGTAGCTAGCAACTAACCTAATAGTGTGTACCCTTAAATTTAATATGGCAGAAAAATACTTACAAGTTTATTTTGCGAGTATCGAATTTGAAGATATAATATTTTAATTTTTTTTTATTAGAACAATTTTACATGGTACGAATAATTTCATAAAATAAATAAAACGTTACAAAATATGAATCTTTTGACATTTTTTCTATTAAGAGAGCAAATTTGTATATGAATTACTTAAAAGTGGCATTGTAACAATTTATTAAATTCTTTTAGTATATGATAAGATGTTGTAAACGATCACATTAAATGTTATCCTCAATTATCAGAATTATAATTTCGAAATGAATAAATTTTCTATTTTAAATTCCTGAACTTCTACTTACGATTACGAATTTATAATAATTATTAGAAAAAATAATTCTATCAAGTTAGAGATATTTGTGGACTTATGTCACTTTTCATAATTTATCATACGTATTAATAAATTTTAATTTTAACTAGCTCGTGAAATTTTAACATAAATTTTGCAATAGTTTCTTAAATTTAGTTTCTTGATAATTAATTTAAAAATATAATCTTAGTCTCTAAACACTACCTTTGAGAAATCAAAATAATTGTTTTTTCAAATATAACAAATTAAATTAACCAAAGTGTTAAAAGAATTAGGTAGGATAATATGAAGTTTTAACACTTTACATTTTGTTATTCAATAGATCGGAAATGATATATAAAAACTGAGACGAAAATATATCCATTTGTCTTTCATTTATCTATCTATCTATCTATATATATATATATATATATATATATATATATATATATATATATATTCTATAATATCCGTGGAAAGTCAGGCCAGCAAGATCTGTGCTTTTGAAATATATTATTTTATTTATTATTGATCATATTATTAATGTTTAGTTTCATATATATATTTTAACGATTGTGTTAAAATTTTACATTAAGTAAAATTAATTTATAATATATAAATAAGTGTAAATTAAAAATATTGTTATCAAACATATATTATATATACGAAAACATTGAGTTAATATAGAAAACGTGTATCTATGTGAAAACATAAAAATATTAGTTTTATACTAATAAAATAATAATATAAACTTATTTTTCAGAGATAGCTAGAGATGTTTAATTTATATGTACTGATAAAAAATGATAGCATAATTGTTCATGTGAGAGGCTTATTCTTCTGGTGTTTGTATTCAACATATAAAGCCTATTTTGTCATGTGAAAATGTGAAAGCACGAACTATATAATTTTGTCTTTTACACTAAAGATTCTGACTTTGAAATGAAATAGACAGATTTTCCTTCCTCATAATTGACATTTTCTTCAGTTCTGGCACTCTTGCCAGCTATAGCACCATGTGACTGATGCAGCTAATTTTTTATTGATTCAGACCCATGTGATGACTTGTCACATTCTCAGAACATTGAAATCTGCATACCTTAAAAGGGAATGGCTAGTTAGAGTTGTTCTGTCATCTGTTAAATTCTCCTCGCATGCAGTTTGTTCCAAGGAAGAGAAAATGGAGAAAACAGTGTGGTGGTGTCTGGTTTTGACATGCTTTTTGGTTCCTCTAGCAGGTGCTGCTGATTGGAACATACTGAAACTGCAGACACATGATGGATTGAAGATCAGCTTGAAGAATTATTGTGAGAGTTGGAGGATGAATGTGGAGCTGCACAACATTAGGGAGTTCCAAGTTGTGCCTGAAGAATGCACTGAGTACATTGGAAAATATGTCACTTCAACACAGTACAAAGTGGACTCACAGAGAGCAACCGAAGAGTGTCTGCTTTATCTCAGCACAAGCTGTAATCTGAAGAAAGATGGGTTCGATGCTTGGATTTTTGACATCGATGATACCTTGCTTTCAACACTTCCTTACTACAAGGATAATCAATACGGGTAATTCAAAATTTCACATTTGGCTATACATTGTGCATGTTTAAAATTCATTTTTTAATATATATATATCACTCAATACGGGTAGTATGAAAGTCTTGATCATATTTTGATCTCCTTTGGTCGGTGATGATCATTGTTGTGAATGATGGATTTCTTTGACAACAGGGGAAGGAAACTGAATGTGACATCTCTGGAGGAATGGATGAAAAGTGGTAAAGCACCTGCTCTTGATCACTCATTGAAGCTCTACGATGAACTTAAATCCAGGGGTGTGCAAATCCTTTTGGTTACTTCAAGGAAGGAACATCTCAGATCAGCCACAATCGACAACCTTGTAAAAGTTGGTTACTATGGTTGGACTAAAATTATCTTTAGGTGAGTACTACTACCTCTACTTTTCTTTCAATAGTCTTCCATTTTAGGCTAAATGTTTCTCTTTTTCTTTCATTTTGTTTCTGTGCAGAGATCCTGCAAATGAATTGGTATCAGTGGAGAAGTATAAATCTGATGTGAGAAAGAAAATAGTAAATGACGGTTATCGCATTTGGGGCATTCTGGGAGACCAATACAGTAGCATTGAAGGGATTCCAAACCCTAAAAGAGCATTTAAACTCCCAAATCCAATGTACTATGTTGCCTAATGTGTAATTCTATTATTTCTTCCTCGTTTACAACTTTATTCCAAACAATGATTAAGATAAATTTCCTTTTCATTTTAATTTATATTAAATAATACATATCAATCTCTCGTTTCACTGACAGATTTTTAATTTTGATTTACTCCCTCCATTTATGTTTATGTATAGATTGAAAAATAATGTAACTATTGAAAATAATTTTTTTTATTAAAATTTGTTTCAAAAAGTAACATATGTATTATTATTCTTAATCAATATAACAAAAAATATCCTGAGTTACAATTATTACTTATTTGGAGAAAAAATATTATTCTTTGTGTACTTAGATAAAAGAAAATGGAGGTATGAAATAAAATTAATTTCAATCACCTTATTTAAACTAAGTTATCGTCTCCATTAAAGATGTCTGAAGGTGATGTAAAAAATATAGTTTTAATTTTATAAACTAAGAATGCTGAGTAATCTTAACAAACATCTTTAACTCGTGATTAGGTATTGTAAATATATTGTAATATATAAATCTCCATCAATAATAAAATATTTTAAATAATGGTGATGAAAATTGTTCTAATTTTAAACTTTTAATAAGTTTCAATAAAAGAATTAAAAATATTTAAATTTATAAGATAGTTAAAAGGTAATTAAATCTATTTAATTAGTGAAAATACATGTTTTTTTTATGATAATAAAAAATAAAAAATTTATTATTAATTAAATATAAATATTTTTTATAATTTTATTGTAAAGAGTTTTTATTTATTTGATAAGTAGCTTTATAATAAAAAAATAATAAATTAAAAAAAAGTATTCAAATGAAAAATAGTTAAATTTAACAAAAAACAGTTGTTTTAAGAATAAAATTATTAAAATTATAATTTTAATTAATTTTTTTTAAAGAGTACATTTAGCAAATGAATATGAACACTAAAAAAAAATCTATATATATAAGTATAGATTATTATAGTTAATTGTTAACTTTTTTATATTTCCTATTCAGTCATACAAAGTGATTTTTGAGACGTTTGAGTTTTATCATTTAAGTTATATTTATGTTTATAACTCCAATACTCTCATTTAATAATAAAACACAATAATTTAATTTTTAACATATAATATTTAATTCTCTTATCAATTTTATACTCATTTATATAATTCTTAAAAAACAACCAAATACAATATATTTGGATTTTGGTTTGGGTCAGTGCAAACAAACACAAAGCCCTAAAAGCCTAACCTCACTCTTCTTAGCGTTGCTAAGAGACAAAGAGAGAGAAAAATGGCAACAAGCGAAGAAGTTGTTGCGGCGGCTCCGGCGCCGGAGGCAGGGCTGAAGCACAAGCTGGAGCGAAAATGGACGTTTTGGTGCGACAATCAATCCAAACCTAAACAGGGCGCTGCTTGGGGAACCTCTCTGCGCAAGGTCTACACTTTCGACACTGTAGAAGAGTTCTGGTGGTATATATTTTTCTCTTCCTTCTCCGTTTTGCTTTCCCCCGATTTTAATTTTTTTAATTTTTTCCTTTTTCATGGAATCTTATTTTTTTCATTTTATTTTAGAAGAATGGAATATGAACCCGCAATCTGTAATCTTATTTTATCGATTATTATCAGGGGCTGGATTGATTAATTTTAAAAAAATGATTTTTACGGATCTTAGGAGAGAAACCCGTAAAGGGTCTGATTTTTTGTTGCTAACACGAGGGTTTATGGCTTTTATGTTTTTCATTGTTATTAAGTTTAGTTATGTTTGTAGTTCTCCTAAATGAGTAAAATTTTGATTTTGGTCAATTAAGAATATTTTCTTTGTTTTTTCGTCCCTTTAAACTTGGAAATCACTGCATTTGATCTTTACTATTATCTATATACTGATTTAAAATTTTGGAGGATGAAAATTAAAGAAAATTTAGAAGGATAAAAACTTATTATTATTATTTGGAGAATGAGTTGAATGTTGTTGATTTTGGGTTTGGTGGTAAAACTATTGGGAGAAATGCCTTTGATGTGAAAAATGTTGGTGTAGTTTGTATGATCAGATATTTAAGCCCAAGGATTTGCAAAACAACGCGGATTTTCACTTGTTCAAGACTGGTATTGAACCTAAGTGGGAAGATCCTGAGTGTGCCAATGGAGGAAAGTGGGCTGTCACCAGCAACATCGGCAGGAAGGATAACCTTGAGAAGATGTGGCTTGAAACTGTAATTTTTTATTTTATTTTATCGCCAATTGCTTTTGTTTTTGGGTTTGTGAAATGTGGGGAGATCCGGTGTTAAATTGTGATTGTTCTTCTGAATAGCTGATGGCGTTGATTGGGGAGCAATTTGAGGATGCTGAGGACATATGCGGTGTGGTTGCTAGCGTGCGCCAATGGCAAGACAAACTTTCACTGTGGACAAAGACAGCGGCAAATGAGGCTGCCCAGGTTTGTTATTTTCTTTTAAATGGTACTTGCAAGTTGCCATTGCAACTTATATTTATGTTCTGTTATCTTGTCTGCTTACTATTCCTATTGTGAGTCAGGATGATTAAGGCCTTGACACATCAATAGAAGTTATGATTGGATTCTCTAATTTCTGGTCTTGTGTTCAAATTATAACTCAATTTGCTCCTATCTAGAATGCTTTCATTGCTTCATTGGAATGCATCAAATGTTTAAATTTTGCACCACACTTTCACTACGGATGTTTTGCTACTACATTCCAGTGTATTGTTTGCTTATTAAAGAAGAAACTAAAGTATTTTTTTTCCTTTCCTTTTCTTCTCCACGAGAGTATTTTGTCATCTTAGTTCCTTTGCAAGGCATAGATGATAGATAAGCACAATTCTATATTTCATGTGCTTTGGTATTTTTCTGTCAACTGTAACTTGAACCTTGTTTCCAATTCAGTAGGGATGAAATTGTAAATTTCCCTGCTATTGATCAATACTACCATGGTGCATCCCTTCAACCTGTCCCAGAACTTTAGAGACTTTCATGCTGTAAACCCAACAATTGTATCCTGCAGTAACCCGATTTTTAACCAACCCTCTATTGCCATACCTTTTGTATACTGGTTTTCTTCCCCTTCACATCCCAATATCAAAAAATTTAATCATGTATTCTTAAAAAGTACAAACATAACTAGGACCATATTTCTTGTCACATCAATAACACTCCATCTTTTGACCTTTTCTCGCACTTTAGCACAAGTCAATCTGGTTTCTTTCTTGTGTTGTGTTAGATGTAATGCTGCCACCTTTTTAACTTATAACTGTGAGTTTTTGGAAGTTGAATTTCCATTTTCATCTCTTTTAGCTGTTTGCCATTTCCCTCTATAGTGCTGTTACTTTTGGCCACTGCAATGTTTTTCTTCTCCAAGATGCATGCTATAATTTCTTCTCTTAACCCATTGGAAAATATTCCCGTAATATTCTGGTCATCAAGCTCTTTCATCACTCTTGCTAGTCTTTCAAATTGGGTGATTAATTCACCCACTGTCTGCTTGTTTCAGGGTTAACAGAGATTCTAAAGGATCACCCCATCAAGATTAGTTGAACCTTCTCAATTAGGGTAGTCTTGAATCCTTCCCAACTTTGATTTGAACTGTAAGTTTCTCACCATTGAGACCATGGCAACACATCTCCTTTGAGAGTCACCGTCATTGCCTGTCTTTTCCTGCTCCACTAAATCGAAAATAGCACTCAAATTTCACTATGCATCCTAAAACATCCTCCACTTAAAGATGGGTATTTCAAGCTTCGTCCAGTTGATCCCTTTCACTGGTTCAGGTTGCGTGCTTGCATATTTGCCTTGGACTTTCCTCCATCATCTACCTTCATGTTAGCCTCCCGTTAGGGTCTTCTGTTATTGAACCTTTTCTAGGCATTGCAGACACCAACGTGTCCCCACCTATTGCAGACATATCGATGCATGAATCTGACTGACTGAATCTTGCTTCTGATCGTGTCTCTAGTCCTTCTTGCAACTGACTCCGGATCTTCACCACCCTCTCCAAAGCCTCCAGCCCTCCTCCATTCAGGATTGTATGCCTGGAGCTTTTCTTGACCCACTCTTTACAAACCTTTGTCTTTTATATTTATATATTTGGACTACAAGCAATCTGCCCGAGTCAGGAACTAACTATCTAGCTAACCTCATCAAGTTATTTACGTAATTGTATCTTTTTTGTGCTTTATCAAACTTGAGATTAAAACAGATAAATATATTTCTAGAGGACTTACGAGATTTTTCTCACAATCTTCTATTTATAATGAAAAACTGATACTAAAAGTTTATTGAAGATTAAGGGACTGTACTAGACATCTAGGTGTAGAACTAGGTATGACTATAGGTTACAACTAATAAATTGTCTAGCACATTACACCCTACTTAGGCTTAATGATGATACATAAATGTAATTATTCTAACAATCAAGATACCCATTTTTTGTTGAATGTTTTATATAATGTTGTGACATTGTATAAAATACTCTACAAAAAAATAAACCTAAATTTGACTTTATGGTTTTAGAGGAATAAACGAGATCCATGGCCAGTGATCTATAATTTTTAGGAAGGTTAGCTACTAAAATGGAAATATTGCTAATAGATACTAATAGATGGTGTGCTTGATATGAGCGAAATATTGCTGGAAATGATCGACTGTAAATTCTTGCTTATCTTTCTACTTCAACTGGGATCTACAATTTATACTGAATGGCAAAGTCTGGAATGTGTAAATGTATCAGTCTAAGATCCAGAATTGTAATTTGCTACTCTAAGCAAGTGCAAATTCCTTGCCAAAATGTCATGTTCATGTATATTTTTTTGACTCATCCAATACTCAGCATGACATTTGAAATGAGCCATTTTTGTCGTTGACTTTAATTTTGCAGATGAGCATTGGAAGGAAGTGGAAGGAAATCATTGATGTTAACGACAATATAACATACAACTTTCATGTAAAACCTTTGCTCATAAATTTTGATTGGTGAATGTGATTCATAAACAACTATGATTCTTACATCTCTAGTTATTACAGGATGACTCTAGAACCAAAGGAGCAACAAAGGGTCGATACACCGTATAAACAGTGTTGGAGCATCTTCTTGCACTTGTGCTGGAAGGCTTGTAGTACTGATACCTTCATCATGTGTCATATGTACTAGATCATGCTACTTCATTGGTGGAGGGCTTGGCTTTACTTTTGTTCATTCACCCCACTTTGGGGTGTTGATACTATTGTACTCTTCCTCATTTTTTAAATGGCCTGTCAAATTTTTCTGCAGAGTTAATTGTAGTTTTTGTATGTCACGTTATTAAAGCTTTAAATCTTGAAATATGTGGAGTCTAGTTTAGGATGAGTTTGATGTGTTGCTTGTACAATTATAATGGAGAAGTAAACCATTATTGTTCTGTTCAGTGTGTAACCCTGAGCTAAAATAAGATGAACTCATGCTTCAACAAGTTCAAATATAAGAAACATATGATGGTGAGACATAGTAAGGGAGATTCCTGTATAAACACAACAGGGGGAAATTAGGTATGTTTTTATTTTCATTAACTATAATTTTAGATAACAAAATTTGTATTCCAAAGTTGTAGCTTAATTTACATAATTTTTTAGTGTATTTTTATCGCTAAATTACTCTGATGATGGTTTGAAGAGTTAAATATATTTTTAAGTGTATAGTTTAATACTTTTAATAGTTTTAAATTATAGTGTTAGAATTTCTTTAAGTATCCTCAATTCAAGAAAATAAAGTGAAGACGACTGCTATAAAATGAATGCTTACCTAAAACTACACTTAATAGTCCTAAGTGATTTTATATATTATACTTCATTCAAATAAGTTGTAAACAATAGAAGATCAATTACTCGATATATATGAAATAATAAAATTAAAATATAATTTTTTTTTATGTAAACGATAAACACTAATTTTTATAAATTACCATTTTTATATATAAAAGAAAAATCTTAGTTGTTACATTACTCTTATAAGCCAGTGTCAAAACATGGTTGTGTTTTCAGACAAAGAAAAACCATACTTCAAAATAGAACCGATTCATCATTAACATCTGAATCTGGTTTAAGAAGCAACACATTTGTTCATAATCAAAGTATATATAATAGTTGGAAAGAAAAGGTGCAGTAGAATCTGATCTGCAACATATCCAGCAGCATCTAAGCATTTAGTTTGGAAAAATAAAATGAACATTTTGTTGGAAGTCTCTCACTAATTACATAAATGGATGCAAGTGAAATTAAATTAGGTTTAAAGTTATTTTTTAGCACATTTAGAATAATCAAAGTTGAAACTGAATAAACTTTTTACTCAAATGGTTGACAAAAACAAGCAGCAGAAATGTTGTGAAAAATATGCTGTATAGTGGCATTGCTTTGTTCATTGTATCAACGTTGATATGTAGATCACCTCTGGTTTTATAATATACTTCATGTATCTAGAGGACAAAATAAGAGAACAATACTTGAGAATGAAAAGTCACAACTAGAGAGAGATTTGTTCCTAGTTTACATTCTTCTGTCAATTGAAAACCACCAAGTTCAAACTTGATACTTTCTCACATGGTAATTACAAAATATGAGGAACATTTTGCTAATCTATCATGCAAGAAACCCAAGCCATTCTCCATTCTTCTTAGCCAACCTGATCAACCCTTGTCTCTGTTTTCCATCTGCTCCTATTGATTTGCAAAATTCCGTGATTACCTAACATTTCAAAGTGTAAAACTTCAGCACAATAAAGAAAGATCACGTTTTATGCTTACATCAATGTTACCCTTACAGTTTTGTTTTGTAATCGGTCATTGAAGATGTATGGACTAGAATACAAGATAAAAAGTACAGCCATTTCATTTCCCATGAATTCATTTCTTTCTTCTAACAGGTGTTTTAACAAACAAAAAGGACAGTTAAGGTGTGTCTGTGTGAGTGATGGATCCAAATTCATCTCTTCTCCAATCTTTTGTTTTCAACCTTTCTACATGTTATGTCCTTTCAAACCAACAAAATTGAGATGTAGTTCAGTAGGTTCTGATACTGTTTTCCAATCAGATTTGAAGTTTTATTTAGATAAAAAGAGATAACATTTGATTATCAGAATAAAACTCTGAATTTAGATTGAAAACAACAAAATAACAGTATACTGTATCAAAGTTTTTTGTTTCAAACAGATCACCCTTTTGCATATTCTACTTATACTTCTTTTTCAACAGGTTTCAAATCCTTCAATCCAATGCTTGGAAACAAAGACATACCACACAAACAGCATACCAAGCCCGATTCACAAGAATTCATGACACAAAGTTCAAAAATTTCCCCCACCCCACAAACAGAATCATCAAATTAAGCAAAAGGGTGATCACAACAAACAGCAATTCTTGACAAGAACACCGAATTTCACCTGAGAGTGCAGAGCAATTGCTTTGCCTCTAAGCTGGTTGAAACGCTTCTTGCCAACAATGTTTCGAGTGACCACAACAAGAGGTGCAAAGATACCCTTCCCTTCATTGATATTCTTCATCATTGGCTGCAATCTCACTGGCTTTCCCCTTCCGATGCGAACCTGTGACGGCACTGACTTGGCCAACAAGGTGTAGTCCTCACCAACAATTGAAGTGCCCCAACTTCCATAGAAGGAAGAACCAACACACCCAGTTGTAGAAAGTGAAGTAGCCATTTTTTGGTTATGCTCTCTGTGATTTTGTTGTGTGAATATAATGAAGGTAGAGATTCTTTTGCTTTGTTTTTAGCCTCTTGTTGGAGCTTGAGATAGATGGCTCTAATGGCTTATATTGTGCTTGTGAAGGAAGGGATATTTGTGTGTAAATTGGAGAGCCAGTGGTTTGAAATTGGACTTTAGTGTGATTCACAACATAGAAGCATTTGGAGCCACATATATTGGTGGCTTTGAATTTTAGTTTTTTGTGCTTAATTATGAAATTCCACAACTCAAATATGACTCAACTTCATGGTACCTAGCTACTTGGAGAACATCTAAATCTCAAATTCTACTGGATTACACGTATTTTCTAGGGTCATCCTCTAACCCTAGCTACGTCATTTTCTTTTTTTCACGAGAAAAATTCATTCAGGCGAGATTACCAATAATATGTGATTCGAGTTAATTTCATATTGGCACTGTTTACAACTTAAAACTTATCATAATATTTAATTTCCTTATTTTTATTTAATTTAAAAGATGGTTAATTATATTTTTGTTTTCTAAATTATAACAAGTTCTAGTTTTTATTTCTATTTCAAATCGTGTTAAGTTTTTAATGTAAAAGATATATAGATATAATTTTTTTCATCCAAATTTTGATTGTTTTTTATTTTTTAAGAAGTTGACAAAAAGATAGATTTATATCGAGAGTTTTCTTAACAAATTGTTAAGCATGTGAACGACCATATAAGTAAAAAATATTAATGATGTAAGAAGTAAAAAATTTAAGGACGAAGTGTCAATATAAATAAACTTACACTTAAAAAAATATCATTAAAAATCAAAATATAAGTCTAAATTTCACAAAGCAGAAAAAGTTAAAGCCATAAACATCTTTGTTTTAATATAAGTATAATATGTTTATGGCTTTAACATCTATCATGCAGATGATGAAATGAAATTAGAGAGGTTAGTAAAGATGGTGAAATTGAAGAGATATTGAATGAACCTTTGTTTGAAAGTGAATATGCCAATGACTTAATTCTTTACAAAGACAAATTTTGTAAAGGAAGTGTTTCTGATTTTTTCAAAAAGAGAAAGGATTGAGAGGAATGAGAGAGGTGAGTAAGGGTTTCGGGGTTTCTTTTTTTTTTTTTTTTAAGTTTTGAGAATGAAAATTATTAAAATACCCTTAACCTTAAAACTTAGAATCCATGATATATAAGGGTATTTTTGTCTACTAAAATCCGGTGTTAAAATGTACCAACTGAAAAACAGGCGTACACGCGTTACAAACCCCTATATATATTTTGTTGAAAATATCCTATTAGTGTTGTATTTTTTTATAATCCTCTCTTGAAATAATCAGCAACAAAGTTAGATTTAAATTTTCAATACTCAATAATTTTTATCAATTACAATTTATAATTTTTACGCGAACAAAACCAATCGACTAATATCTCAATCTGTTATTCATAACAAAAAGGTGCTTATAGAATCTAATTTTAGTATACATGATTAAAATTAAGAGTTATTTTAAGTATAATTAAGGTAACTTTTTATTATTATATAAAAATAATAAAACATAAAACGTTGTTTGAGTGACAACTCATTGCTCTGTTAAATTGTATGGAAAATTATTAACAAATGTGTCAAAAAGGTTTTAAATGGAATATAGATTTTCCTATAAAAAAAATGCATGGGTTGCAGTGTTATTTTTGTTAGAAAATGGTGTTGATGGTTTGGGACAGGTGTGAGCAGATAAAAAAGTGTAAAGAATCTAGAACTTCAAAAAAATTGACCAAACCTAACAAAATTAAAGTTTCTTCATAAATTCCATCAAGCAACCAGAGTCTGAGATTATATTAGATATACGTGGTAAAGTATATAATAATATTAAATGAGTGTTTTCTGAATAAATGAATTGATGATTAAGTAATACCTCACTCTACTTAATTTATATATTAATTTAATGCTATTCTTTAAGACATCGAATTTATATTTATATTTTTTAAATAAACATATCAAATTATGATGATTAAATATTTATAAATGGTTTATAAGGAATCTCAGAACCATCATGATTTCAAAGAATTTTATTAATATAATTTCACAATCATCTTATAAGAAGAATGTTACTTATATATTGGAATAATTTAACCTTTTATTCTATTATGTGGGAGATTTACAGAGTTTTTATTAAATATGTGATATTAATAATAAACACGTGTATTTTAAAAACATGTTTGTTGTACGAATAATAATAGTAATGGCTTTTATTTGAATATTTTTTTATAAAGTTTAAAAGCATTTTATAAATTTGGAAAACAATAAAATTAACAGGGAAGAAAACGTTAGTTATTAAAGAATGATTAAAATTTTGAATTTTCACATTTATTTATCATTTTATTATATACTTTTATTTAATTCATTTTTTTAAAGTAAAATTTTGTTTGATTTTATAATTTTTAAATAATCTATATAAATACTTTTAACTGATTTATAATATTTTTAAAGGTATTTGTATGTATCCACAGATATAAAAAAAATCGTGGACATAATTTTACGTGGATTTAGATAAAATACCAAAAATATTATAAAATAAAATAATTAAAATTATATTATAAATTATTTGAATTTATTTTTTATTGACCAAATAAAAAATAAATGAGAGAAAAATAGTTGTGAGCGTGATGGCATACCAACCTTAGTTAGGTGGCAAAATTGCAGCAATGAAAAGTGGAATAGTTTTCAACCTCAAGAATTTTGAGGCCATGTGGACATGCCACAAGGATTCAATTCTTTTATTAGCCCTCTAAAATTACAACAATTTTTTTATGTCAAATATTTTTTGTTTAAGTGTCCATAAAATCTAGAAAATAGTATGAAACAATGACATTAGAATATTTTAATGATAAAATAATAAGATTATACAATTTTTTATTTAAAAAAGGTTTATTTTATAAAAATCATCATTTTTAAATTTTTTTGTCTCTGTATTTTTTTTTAAATTTCACCTCAATTTTTATTGTTTTTGAAGATTAATAATTATAAAATTGTTCATAATAAAAATGTATAAACATCCAAAATCATATGATTGTTTTTATTGAAATCTTTATACGTTTATTTTATTTAATATCTTATCTATTTTACATTTAATATTTTATTTGGTCCTTACTTTTAGGTGATGTGTTCAAAGTGGTCTTACTCGTTTACGAGAGTTCATTATTGTCTTATGTTATGTAAAAATGGTTCAAGTTGGTCATTTCGGCCTACAACGTTAAAAACACTAACTGTGACCAAAAGTGAATGAGGTATCCAATTTTGTAATACGTATTGAAATGTAAATTTTAAAAATAAAAATTAATGACGTGGAAAAGGTTTAACAAAGAGTTAAATGGAATTTGTTAGTGCTCATGAAATTGTTATTGTGTGATATGACTAATTGTAGGGTAGAGGAAGTGAAGAAGTTCCCTTCTCCTTCACCATGCTCATCATCTACCTTTTCTTCACCTTCATCATCACCATAAACCTTCATTCTTTTAACACAAACATTATCATATCTCACCTGTACAAATAGAAAAACAACAACCTATTACCTCTTTCTTCATCCCAAACCCACAATCAACACACAATTCCTGCACCATCATTTTTCAAGCTCAATGCATACACAATAACACTCTCGAAACCCACACGGTCGTCATCCAAAATCTCCATTCTTTTTCCCTTTCTCCTCTATCCATTCATGCATAAAGAATACAAAAAACAAAAGGGAGCCATCATTCCACCACCACCCAACACATTGAATACTAAAATCACAAAACAATTAAAAATAGGGAGCAAGGTAAGGAGAAATCCCAAATTGCAAGATAATGAACACCAAAACCTAAACCGCGAAATTAACCTAAGAAAAGGAAACCCAATTCGCAAACAAAAAAAAGAACCCCAAAACGTAAAAATCAACTCTGATTCAAAACCCTAATCTAAAATCCCTAAAATTTGCAAGATTTAAAACACAAGAAAAGGAAACCCCAAAACACTGCAATATGAAATTCTTTTCTTGCGAAACACTCTTAAATCGGAATGAAAAGGGAGGAGAAACGATATGTTACGTTTTCAAGATGGAGATTTTCAGGAACCATAGTCTTTTGACTGGGTTAATGAGGCTCGTTAAAGACAAGAGACATTCAAACTGCCCAGGTTCTACAAAACAATGTGCTTGAATTCAGAAAACTATACTCAAGTGTCACATCAATTTGATTAGTTGCCACATAACTGGACATGTAATTTATTATTGGCTAAAGTGGACATTACAAAGTTAGATTTTTAAATCTGTAAGCCAAAATGGCCAACTTGAATCGTTTTTATAAAATATGAAATAATAGTGAACTCCTGAAAAAAAGATATGATCACTTTGAACACATCGTCCCAAACTACGAATCAAATAAGATATTAAACTTTCGTTTTAATAACTGATTAAGTTTGTTTTTTTTATTTTTTTAGGTGAATTTTTCTTTGAGTTTACAATATTATTTTATAGTATTATCTTATAGTCTGTGACTCAAATGTCCTCAAAGTCAAAGTTAGTATTTATTATTATATGATCATAGTGATATATTTAGATTTTTAATAAGGTTTTCATTATCTATGTCATCTTTGTAAAAAATAGAATTTTAAAGAACAAATGAGTAAAATAAACAATTTAACTAAAGTAAAAAAATAATAGTAATTTTACATCTACTAAATTTTCTTAAAAGAATATATATTTAAAATGTCTTTATATCAAATACTTAAAAAAATAAAATATTTGACTATATTAAAAAAATTATATTAAATTAATTCTTAATTTATAGTATGAAATTATTTTAGAGTAATTACATGAAATATAATATAATATTTTAGAAAAATAGGCATATTTACCTTTTTTACAATTTCTAAATTTTTTTAGGCATTTGCGGATTGTATAAAATAGAAATTTAAAAGTGTTCTAAAACAAATTACATATTTAATAGACAAAGGTTGATCTAGGTTATATTCAATTGAGATGCAAAATATAGTAAATTATTTGAATAACATGTTTCCTTAATCTTTTAAATCAATTAAAGAGTTTAAAGACTGTAAAAAATTTTCCAATTACTGGGAATATCAAGAAATGAAAAGAAATTATTTAAGAAATCGAAAGTTGTTATGAAACTAAAA